GGAGGCTGGTCCAGTAAATACGCGCTTTCTGCCATCCACTACCACAATTCCGGATTCCTGAAAAGGAAAGCAGGTGCTCTGTGCCTTAGACAGCCAAAACAATCTCATCACTTGGGGAATGTTTCGAAAGTCAAGTTCCCTAGTGTAAAACGGTATGGCTGCTATGGAAAATAGGTGTGGAGACTTTTCAAAAAATTAAAAATAGCATTCCATGTGATCCATGTGAATGCACTTCTCGGTATATTATACCGAACAGAATTGAAAGCAGGGTTTCAAAGAGATATTTGTTGAGGAATCTTTTGTTGTTTTGTTTTGTTTTTTGGTGGCTAGCCTTTATGGGGATGTGAACCCTTGACCTTGGTATTATCAGCTTTTACCAAGTGAGCTAACCAGCCTGCCCTCAAAGAGATATTTGTACACCCATGTTCATAGCAGCATTATTCACAGTAGCCGAAAGATGGAAGCAATCCAACTGTCCATGGAGGAATAAATGGGTAAACAAATGTGGTATATCCATACAATGGAATATTATTCAGCCTTTAAAAAGGAAGCGGAAAATAAGACAAAAGACTCACAGAAATAGAAAATAAAAATAAATAAAATTTTTTTGAAAAGGAAGGAAATTCTGACACATGCTACATCATGGATGAAGTTTGAGAACATTATGCTGAGTGTAATAAGCCAGTCACAAAAGGACAAATGCAATTATGATTACTCTCAAAGGAGGTCCCTAGAGTAGTGAAATTCATAGAGGACAGAAAATAGAACGGTGGGTGCCAGAAGCTAGGGGAGGAGGGAGTGGGAAGTTATTATTTAGTGGGGATAGAGTTTCAGTTCAGAAAGATGAAAAAGTTCTGTAGATGGATCATGGTGATGTTTGCGTGACAGTGTGAATATACTTAATGCACTGAACCGTACACTTAAAAATGGTCAAGATGGTAAATTTTATGTGTATCTTGCCACAATTAAAAAAAAAAAAAAGCTAAGTTCTCAGTAGGCAGCCATGGGCCAGCCTTGCAAGTAGACCCTTTTGAAAATCAGCCCTACTATGTTAACTCTTTCGTGCACATTGTCCTGAGAATTTTGTCCTTTCATTAAGTGCCAGTACCACACTGTCTTGACTACTGTAGCTTTGTAGTAAGTTTTGAAATTGGGAACTGTGAGTCCTCCAACTTTGTTCTTTTTCAAGATTTTTTTGGCTATTCTGGGTCCCTCGAATTTTCATTTGAATTTATTTTAGGATCAAGTTCTCAATTTCTTCAGAGAAGTCAGCTGGGATTTTGATAGGAATTGCATTGAATCTGTATGTCTACTTGGAGAGTATTTCTGTTTTAACAATATTAAATCTTTGGATCCATGAACATGGGAGGTATTTCCATTTATTCAGGTCTTTAGTTTCTTTTAACATTATTTTGGTTTTCAGAGTATAAGTTTTATACTTCTTTTGTTAAACTTACTCGTATTTTTTTGATACTATTAAAAATAAAATTATTTTCTTGATTTCATTTTCAATTTGTTAATTGCTACTACACAGAAATACAATCTTTCATATTGATTTTATATACTGCAACCTTGCTGAACTTGCTTTTTAGTTCTAATAGTTTTTTATGGATTCCTCAGGATTTTCTATAAAGATCATGTCATCTACAAATAGAGATAGTTTTACTTATTTTCCAGTCTGGATGCCTTGTATTTAATTTTCTTGCCTAACTGCTCTGCCTAGAACCTCCAGTGCAATGGTGTAAAAGTGGCGAGAGCAGATGACCTCGTCTCTTCCTTGTCTTAGTGGGAAAATGTTCAGTCTTTTACTATTAAGTATGATATCTCTGTGGGTTTTTCACAGATGCCCTTTATCTGGTTGAGGATATTCTATTCCTACTTTGTTAAATGTTTTTGTCATGAAAAGGTATTGAGTTTTATCATATTTTTTTTTTCTGTGTCTGTTAAGATGAGCATGTGGTTTTTGTTCTTTATTCTAGTGATATGGTATATTTCGTAAGTGATTTTCAGGTGTTAAACGAACCTTGTATTCCTGCGATAAATCCCACTTGGTAATGGTGAATAATCATTTTTATGTATTGTTGGGTTTAGTTTGCTAGTTTTTTCTTGAGCATTTTGACATCTATGTTTATAAGAGATATTAGTCTGTAGTTTTCTTGTTGTCTTTGTCTGGCATTCTTCACCTATTTTGTACACACACACACGCACGCACACACGCACGCAGGCAAATTTTATTTCCTGACTCATTTGAGAGAAAATTTGAGAAATTGTGTCCCATTATCCCTAAGTACTAAATACTTTGGTGTTTATTTCTTATGAATAAGGACGTTGTTCTGCCTAGTCATAATACAGTTGTCAAAACCAGGAACTGTAACTCTAAGACCATAATGTTACCTTCATAGTTCATATCCACATTTTATCAGCTGTCTCAGTTCTGTCCCTTATGCCTTCTTTCTGGTGCAGGATCCAGCCAGGGCGTGTGTTGTGTGTAGCTGTTACGTCTTGTCCTCCTTGCTGTGTTTCTTGGCCTGGATATTTTCTAAGAGTTCAGACCAGTGATTTTGGGGACTGTCTCTGAGGTGGGGTCTGGCTGGTGTTTCCTCGTGGCTTGATTCAGGTGATGCGGCTTTGACAGGAGCCTCATGGAGGCAGTGTGTCCTCCTGAATGCGTCGTGTCAGGAGGCACGTGATGTTGGCGTGCTGTGGTGTCGGTCTTGTTGATTCTGCTCATGTCTTCATGCTAGGTGTCCACAGTGGAGAGTTGCTGTTTCCCACTTGTGAATTAATAAGTGGTGGGGAGATTATTGGTTTTAGCATCAATCGATGGTTTTCTCACTCCTTTAATTTTTTTATACTTGTTCCTTTTGACACTCTGCTGTGCCACAGGGCTTTTCCTGCTCTGTGGTCATGTATATATCTGGGTGTGGACTCGTGGGTTGCTGTTTTATGTGATGGTCTATAAACCATTTCTCCATTCTTGGTGCTCAGTTGCAGATCTGGCCAGCGGGAGCCCCCGTGAGCTGGCTGCTGTGCGCGTGGGCCTGGCCGCCCGCTCTGAGTCCGCCTCCCTTTCTGACACACTCCTGTTCTTGGCTCACCTTGGCCTCTTCTTGCCTCCGTCTCTGTGGACCCTCACCAGAGTCTCTCCACATTTTATTTCTGGGGACGTTCTCGCCTTTATTTCTTCCTATATTTCTTGCCCTGCATTTTTATTTCTCTCTAATTCTGGTATGTCTATTGTTGGAACACTAACACTTCCATCTTTCATATCTTTTAGCTTTTCCTTCATCCTTTTTACATTTCTTCTTCCTCGAGGTCTTCTTCAGTCTGTTCCTTCCAGTTTGTAATTCCTCAGTGACATCCATTATATGATTAATTTCCTGAACTGAATTCCTTATTTCAGCTGTGACAATGTCTCACATATTTCTGGGTTTTTTTCTTGTTTTTGGTTCATATTGTTAATGTTTTCCCTTTTATGGTGAGTTTGTTAGGCTAAGTATATGCCCTTGGTCTGTGTGTCCTAATATTTCTGCTTCTGGTGGATTTTGTGTTCTTGGTGTTCATTACCAGAAGGTTTGCAGCTTCTGTTTGTTTTTTTGTTTTTTGGGGTTTTTTTGTCCTTTTTGAGACCGGCCACACCGCACTCAGCCAGTGAGCGCTGTGAGCGCACAGGTCATCCCTATATAGGATCCGATCCCGCGGTGGGAACGCTGCTGCGCTCCCAGCGCCGTACTCTCCCGAGTGCGCCACGGGCCTGGCCCATGTTTGGTTTTTTTATCAACCCAAATGGTTCTTTTGTGATCTTAACAAACCTCCAGGTGGAAGGGAACAGCAGCAGCGGCAGCGGCAGCAGCCTCCAGGTGGATGTTCTCGTGGCGCCTGTGGACTTGTAATTTTTTTGCTTTGCTGCATTGAATCTGGCTAGGTTGATTTCTGAGTTTGTTGAGATATTCTTTCTGCCCTAATTTTCAGGCTTTCAAAGTTGTTCGTCCATGTGTAGTATAAAGTTGTATCTGTATTTTTAGAGCGTGCCTTAAAAGCTGTTGGTCAAGGCCCAGATATCACTATTCTACTCCTGACCCTTGGTTTCTGAGAGACGTGTGAGCGCTTCCTGCAGGACTGCACTCCTGTGGATCTCTCTTTGTTGTTCAGCTTTTCCTTTTGTTTCAAAGCCTAAATGGAAGCCTCAGAAAGCATTTAGAGAACGGAAGTCATTGTCTCACGTGGAAGCTTCCCAGGGAGCTGAGCTCTGTTTCACCAGACAAAGACGACAGGTGGCATCTCAGGAAAAAGCCACTCCCCTTCTCAGGCTGCTGAGGTGATGGCAGGCTATTCTTGGTAGAAAACAGGAGTTTTCTCAGGTGATTATCATTTGCACAAAGGCCGAGCCCTCTGCTGCAGGGCCTGACTCCAAGCTTCCCAGGGAGCTGAGCTCTGTTTCACCAGACAAAGACGACAGGTGGCATCTCAGGAAAAAGCCACTCCCCTTCTCAGGCTGCTGAGGTGATGGCAGGCTATTCTTGGTAGAAAACAGGAGTTTTCTCAAGTGATTATCATTTGCAAAAAGGCCGAGCCCTCTGCTGCGGGGCCTGACTCCAGCAGTGGCTGCAGCTTGGCCAGCCCCAGGCCTGGGCAGCCAGCCCAGCTGCTCCCTGAGCTGTGCCGGTAGCAGCAGCCCAGGGTCTGGCCCGCCAGCCAGCAGGAGGAGGAGGAGTGGAGGTGACAAGGACAAAGATTTTTTATGGAGTCAGTAGCTTACAGGAAATGCTTAAGGTTTCGCTTATTTTGAAGGTAAGAACTGAGCCAGGTGAGCCTGTTTTCTTGAGTGATTTTAGGGTAGAGTTTGTTTCCTGGAAGGTGACACACATGTCCCCAGGGTGGGGCAGGCAGGGTCTGCCCTGTTTCCATTCAGACTGTCCTCACTTGCCAGAGACTGTGACTGGTGGCCTCAGTGCACAGACACGGCCCCCCATGCTCTTGCCTTCTGCCCCTGCCCCCAGCCTGAGAAGCCGGGCCCCGACAGCGAGGACCTCGTGGCTGACAGTGTGCGGGCCATCAGCATCCGCACCCTCTACCTGGTCAGCACTACCGTGGACAGGATGAGCGACGTGAGTGTACACACCTGAGCGGGGGCTTCCAGCTCAAGGCCCTGCCCCTTGCTCGCCGACTGGGAAGTTTTCCCGTGCCTGCTCTGTGACTAACCACCCCCCTCCTGACCCTTGTCCTGGGGAACAACTAAACTGTGCGGTGGCAGTCTGGCCTCTCTAGGGAAGGGGCCGGGGAGCATTCACAGGCCTCCTTGGCCACAGCAAGACACGTGAAGGGTCCGTCCATCCCTCTGAGCTCTAGCAGTGCTGGAGGTGGCGGCTCTTCAAAGGCTCTTCCCGCCCCCTCTGCTGGATGCCGCAGAGCTGCAAGGAGTGCAGGGCACGCTTTATGGAAGCCACTAGCTGCCATTGCTGCTCATGGCCCGCGGGCCCTCTCCTTCCCCAGGTCCTCTGGCCGTACCTGCTCGAGTTCATCACCCCCGTGCGCTTCACTGGGGCCCTGACTCCACTCTGCAGGAGCCTTGCCCACCTGGCACTGAAGAGGCAGGAGGCAGGGGCCGACGCCTTCCTCATCCAGTACGATGCCCACGGTGCGACCCCACCCCCGGGCCTCCAGCTAGGCTCAGCCTGCTGCTGGGTGGGCGCCAGGTAATTGTGTCCATGTCTCCATCTGCAGTGAACCTGCCTTCTCCCTATGCTGTGGCCACAAGGCTTCTGGTAAGCTTCCACTTCCACAGCACACCGGTGCTAGTGGCGTCCTGCAACAGACATCAGGAGAGGAGTGGGCTTTCCTCTCTGTGTCCTTGTGTCCCTGTCAGGGGGTCGTAGGCTGCTGACAGGCACCTGAGGATGCTGCCTTCTCAGTGCGGACCACCGGTCACGTGCTCGCAGCGGGGTCCTTCCGCCGTGGGTGGCCACGCATCAGGAAGAGCTGCAGGAAGCTCTCGCCCCTGTTGGGCACTGTGGCCCTGCAAGCCTGGAGGAGCAGGTGTGAGCCTCGGTTGTGAGCTCCCACTCAGACTGTGCTGTCACCTATGTCCCACTTCAGGTTGTGTCTTCCAGCCCCTACCTGGGGGACGGCCGCGGGATGGCCGCGCTGCGCCTCCTGAACGTCTTGCATCGTAACATCCACCCTTTGCTGGGTCAGCGGTGGGAGACAGCCATCCCCCTGCTGCTGGAGTACCTGGATGGTGAGACACAGTCCTGTGAGTAGGGCTGCGTGGGGTGGGGGCACTAGCCACCTCTGATCCCACTTCTGCCAGGTGGCATCAGGGCTGGCCAGTGGGGACTAGCATTTTGTAAGTTGGGAGAAACAATCTCTGTTGTGGTCCAAGAAAGGGCCTAGACAGCCTGGGGCTCAGAAGGGGCTCCTTACTGGGTATTGCTTAAGAGCAGGTGAGAGATGGGTGCAGCCTCCAAACTCCAGAAGATGAGGTGGACCTGGGCCGGGTGGGAGGTGCAGGACCCTGAGGACCCCACTCTTGCCTGTCAGGATGGGCCTGCCTGGCAGGGTGCAGGCCGACTGTGTGACTTGCTATTTCAGAATGTACGGAGGAAACCCTGTCACAGAAGGAGTGGGAGGAAAAGCTGCTGAGGGTGAGACCAGAGAGGACGCTGAGGGTGTGGCCAGCCCTGGGCACTGAGACATCTTCTGCTGGGTGGAGAGGGCCTGGGGGAGCAGACGCCGCAGGGCTGCACCTTCCCAGGGTCATGTTGCCTGCTTCAACTTAGTGCTCTGGCTTGGGGAGGAGCCAAAGAGCAGACGGGAGTCTGTGGGGTGAGGATTATTGGCCGGCCCCAAAGGTTGCTGTGACAGGATCCCGACTCTCTGGCAGCCCTGGCTTTGAGCCATCCTGGCCACGGCAGCCTTCTCTTCCACCCCCGCCTGCACAGAGCCATCTGGGCCCTGACTGCTGTGTGGCGGGCCACCCAGGCTTGTTCTGCCGCCCACTGCACTATGCCAAGACTGCTTGCCACCACGGCAGGGGCCGCCCCAAGGTCATCGCATGTGACATGTCTGGGCCTTAGGCCCCTCCCCAGCCAGCTCCCGGTCCCTGACTGACATCCTCATCCACAGTTCCTGCGGGACAGTTTGGCTGCCGTGTCTGACAACACGTGGATCTGCCAGCTGAGTCGGGAGATGTGCAAGCAGCTGCCCTGCTACAATGGGACGCCCCAGGAGAAGGTGCGGAGCTGCTGGGGCCTCACGTGATCGTTAGGTTTCAAGTTCCTGTGACCTGAGTCTGTCACCTGCTGTGTAGGCCTGTCTCACATGGCTCTGATGGCCCTGGCGGAGCCAGGAACAGAAGGCCTGTGAGCCTTGTCCTGGTTGGCTGGTGGTTGGAGATGTGGCAATGTGCTGCACCCCCCTCTTGCTCCTTGACCCTGCCCGGGACCCACCCAGCCGTGCTCACGGTGGCCAGCACTGTGGGCTCCTGACAGCCCCTCCCATGTCTGGTGGGCAGGATGGGCTTTCCAGGAACAGCGCTGTGGTAGCTCTGGGTGTCCCTCTCCTCAGGAGTCAGGTGCCACCGTGTCCTCTGGCTTTGTTTCAGAACTTCCTGTATAAATGCATAGGAACCACCCTGGGTGCTGCTTCCAGTAAGGAGGTGGTGAGGAAACATCTTCGAGAGCTGTTGGAAACAGCCAGATACCAGGAGGAGGCAGAGCACGAGGTGCTGTCATCTTCTCTGCAGGAAGCCCGGGAGGCCCAAGGGCCGGCTGACAGTAGTTACCTCCAGCATGTGTGCATGTGTGCATGTGTGTGCAGTGTGCACAGATGACCGTATGTGGTGTGTGCACAACATGCATGTGTGTGAGGTGCGCTATCTGCATCCACGTGTGTGTGCACGCTCCTCCTCGTACGTAACACGTGGCCGTGGGCCCCCTTGCACAGGTGGGAATGCTCTGTGTGTCTCCCCAGGGCCTTGCCTGTTGCTTTGGGATCTGTGCCATCGCCCACCTTGAGGACACCCTGGCCCAGCTGGAGGACTTTGTGAAGTCAGATGTGTTTAGAAAATCCATGGGCATTTTCAACATCTTTAAGGTACAGAGGTCAGGCTGGTGGCCAAAGGTGGAGGCCCAGGAGGGAGGACTGTGCGGTGATTTTGTGTCCCAACTGCTGCCCTACATTCTAAAGTCCTGGGGGCTAGGGGGTCCTGCCTGTCTGAGGGCAGCTCTGTCTTTTCACAAGTTGAGGCTGGGGTACCACAGGCTTGTGGCGGGGCAGGCAGCTGGCATCAAGCCCAGGCGGCTGGTTCTACTCCCACATTCCCTCCCATGGGCAGGGGTGCAAAAGCGCCCACAGAAGCAAATCCAGCTGGTAAGGACGGGCGCACATCCCTCTGCCAGTTGAGTGAGGGTGGTGAGGGGCTCGGGATGGCGGGGGAGGGACCTGTACGTCCAGACTGTCTGCCCGGAACTCAGCCACTTTGTGGCCAGTGGAGGCTGTTTCCTTTCCACAGCCACTGGCTGTGTCCTCAGAACCAGGGCCTGATTTAAGGCACGGGTGAACCACCACTGCGTGCCCCACCCCAGCTCTTGTCCCCTGGTTTTCTGTCTCTGGTGACCGTTGCAGTTACAGAATCTCAGGACTGGACTGGGCATGTGGGCCTGCCCACCTTTTTCTTTTTTTCTCTTTTTATTTTTGGCGGCTGGCTGGCACAGGGACCGAGTCCTGGACCTTCGTGTTACTGTGCTCTAACTGACAGAGCCAACCGGCCAGCCCCTGCCCACACTTTCTACGTGCATAGGTGGAACCGGCCCCAAGGACAGAGGGGCCGGTCTGCAGGCTCGTCTGCAGCCTGAACAAGGACAAGGGCCTCCATGGCGAGCTCTCCCTCCTGCTCGTCCCCCACCGTGGTCCTACTCCCTCAGCCCTTTTCCTCTGCCACTTGGTCCCCAGTGAGCCCATGCCTGGCCAGCTCTCCTGTCCGGTCCTTGGCAAAGGAGCTCTTCCCATCCACGGATTTGGGTGTGCCATCCACCTGCTGGGTTACGCCTCTGATGTCACTCACCAGCTCTGGCCCTTCTTTTTTTTTTTTTTTTTTTTTTTTTTTTTTTTTTTTTTTTTTTTTTTTTTTTTTT